ATTGCATGTACTCCTTAAACCTGGAACTCAAAGTTGTTACGACATGGAGCTCGGAGCAAACTTCGTGGGTAGCACAACAAGGAGCATGGAGTAAACAAAAAGCGGAGGTGGTCGCCATTCTACAACAACAAGACAAGTCTACATCAACTAAACCATTCCTTAGGTTAAATAACAAGTCATAGGATTTCTAGGCGGTCTGCCTAACGCGATATAAATCCTCAACTTGTCTTTTAATCTATTGCACAACCCTATTTTGCAATATAGTTCCTAACACTTTTAAGATTCCGAGGTTGTCGTGCGGTATGGTGTAAATTCTCTTATTTTCTTAGGCTATTTGCACGATCAGATGTCATGCGAGTATAAACCCTAAATAATAAAATTAACAGGATTACAGATTAAATAAACATCACTCCAAAAATATAAAACCGAATAATATGATAGTTGGGAAGTCACTAGAGTTTTCCTCGAGTCTGTGATATCACTGTGGAATTACGCTTAGTACTTGCTATATTTAGTCATAGTATAAAAAAGGTAATTCATTAATTATAGGTATTTATGTTTAGTACTTACTATTTGGTTGGTCCATCTTTGTTCATATTTACAAACAACACCACAGTAAATTAGACCCCAAATCTGTCAAATGCATATTCATAGGGTATTCGATCAACAAGAAATGCTTCAAGTGTTATTGTCATTCAACTAAAAATGTCTATAATTCTATGGATATCACCTTTTTTTAACATCAATTATACTACCAAGAGTCTGTCGTTCAGGGGCAGAGTCGTAGTGAACAACAACCCTATTTTCCTTTGCCAACTGACACGCGTCCCTCACCGACTGTCAAATCTCCTCCATCTCCTATTCAACCTCCTTAGTCTACACAACCCACTCCTCAGGAACTTCGGGTCTATACAAGACGAAACAGAACTACTGAAAGAATAGAGAACCTAACACCGCTTCACCGCTTCCAGCTCCGCTTCCAGCTGCTGTTCAAGAATCTAATCGGACTCCAAAACCCTCTGAAACTCACTCAGGTACGAAATCTATAGACACTAGTGATTACGAGCTCACCCCGCCTGCGAAAGATGATTCTGATGTTCATTGCACTCAACATCCTATTGCCCGATTTGTTTCATATGAGAGGTTATCTCCTCTCTATCATGCATTTATTACTGCTATTGACAGCATAAAGGTTCTGAATTCTATTCAAGAAGCTCTCTCACACCCGGAATGGAGAAAAACTGTGAATGAAGAAGTTGCTGCACTAGAAAAGAGTGGAACGTGGATTGTGTCTGATTTGCCCAAGGATACGAGACCAGTAGGATGCAGGTGGTGTGGTTATTTACAATAAAATGTAAGGCAGATGGAAGCATAGATCGGTTAAAAGCCCGACTGGTTGTAAAATGTTATACTCAGTCATACATAATTGACTACCAAGAGACATTCGCCCCAGTAGCTAAATTGAACTCCATTAGAATCCTACTCTCCATTGCAACAAACCGAGACTGACCCCTTATGCAACTTGATGTTAAAAATGCATTCCTTAATGGGGAACTTGAAGAGGATGTATACATGAATTTACCGCCTGGTCTTGAAGGGTCCTTCCCTAGTGGCAAAATATTCAAGCTACAGAAATCTCTGTATGGTCTCAAACAATCTCCCCGTGCTTGGTTTGCCCGATTCACCAATTCAGTAATCAGGTGCGGTTATAATCAAAGCCAGGCTGATCATACAATGTTCACAAAAAGATCCGAGAAGAAGATTGCTGTATTTATTGTGTATGTTGATGATATCATTCTTACAAGTGATCACGCTGAAGATTTGACAAAGCTGAAGAAGTTTCTAGCCCATGAATTCGAAATCAAGGACCTCAGAGACTTGAAGTTCTTCTTGGGAATGGAAGTTGCAAGATCCAAAATGGGGATAGTCGTAACTCAAAGGAAGTACACATTGAACCTATTGAAAGAAACTGGTATGCTTGGATGCAAACCAATAGACACTCCAATAGACCCGTATAAAAAGATTGGAATGGAGAATGATAGTTTACCTGTCGACAAAGGACGATATCAGAGGCTTGTTGGAAGACTTATTTACTTATCCCACACCAGACCAAACATAAGCTTTTCAGTAAGTATAGTAAGTCAATTCATGAACTGTCCTACTGAGGAACATATGAGAGCTGTCAACCGTATCTTAAGATACTTAAAGATGACACCAGAGAAAATTATTATTTAAAAGAAATGATAGTCAAAAGGTAGAAGTCTTTACTGATGCTGACTGGGCAGGAGATATATCCACCCGACGATCAACCTTTGGGTATTGCTATTATGTATGCGGCAATCTAGTGACATGGAGAAGCAAGAAACAATCGGTGATATCTCGGAGTAGTGTAGAAGCAGAATATAGAGCACTGACGCTTGGTATCTGTGAAGGAATGTGGATCAAAAGATTTCTTAAGGAGCTTGAAATTATGGGAGAAAATTCTATCAAGATGTTCTGTGACAATCAAACAGCAATCAATATCGCAAAGAATCTTGTTCATCATGACCGAACGAAACACATTGAGATTGATCAGAACTTCATTTCAGAGAAGGTGGACAATGGAATCATTGAATTGGTCTGTACTCCTTCTAGAGACCAAACTGTAGACATTCTCACCAAGACTCTCCCTAAGTCAAGTTTTGATGAGCTAACCAACAAGTTGGGCATGTACAATCTGTACAACCCATCTTGAGGGAGAGTGTGGAATTACCCTCTTTATTATTTACTTTAATTCTATTTAGTACTTGTTATATTTAGTCATAATATAAAAAGAACAATTCCTTAATTATAGGTATTTTTGTAATTATAGGAATTACTTAATTGTAGGAAGATTTCTTTCCTCTCTCTTTCTTGTACTCGCCTATTTATAGGTGAATTATCTATGTATTCATATGAGAAAAACATTATTCAAAATTCACACTTACCTTTCTTTTCTTTGACTTTTGGAAATAATTGTTCTTTTTTTGAGCCACTTCATTTTGTTTTTTTCTTATGTCCAATCTTGAATACATGAACTTTAAAATCTTGAAGATAAAACCAGTCATCGTAATCGAGAGTTTTCTTAAGTGACTTAGGTCATTTAAGATGTAATTAACTATAGAGGTTTGCATTTATAGGGAACTTTAGAACTCGGGTAATATAAATTCTTTCTAATTTTTTGTATTAGATGGGAAAATTTGTTGGCCATACACAAAAGATTTCGTAGACCAAATGGATGTCATATATTTTTTAGCTTATATAATCGAGTCCCCTTCGTTAGGTAACAGGTTTATCTTTTGGGATGAATGTGTCACATGAAGGGGGATGTTTGATTATCTAAACTATGAGATATATAAGATCTTTTTGGTCTCATATTTTCCAAAATTAAAATAATATTTCCCAAATCAAATTACATATATTTAAATTAAATTAAATTTAAATCATTTTTCAAAAATAACACACCGATCTTTCGGTAGGATAGCGGGGTGATGAGACCTGGACAAGAGAAGTTTTTTTTTTCGTGATGACTAGGGTTCTCAGCCTCTTACTTCTCCTCCAATTTAGGATCGCCGGCCGACTTCTAGACTTTTCTGCTCCTTCGGAATTCTTCTTGCAGCAGACCCTCTTCTGTAGTTTTTTTTGTATCAGACTCTTTCGAAACTTTTTCGGGTTATTAGGCCCTCCAAAATTTTTTCTACAGTAGACCCTCGTGAATCTTTTCTGCATCACCCTCCATAGCTTTTCCTGTAGCAGGTACGCTAGAATTCTTCGTGCAACAAACCCTCTTTCGAAGCCTTTCTCAGCATCAAGCCATCCTCTAGAACTTTTTTCTGTATCAAGCTTTTCTCTTAAACTTTTTCTTGTATCAGACCCTCCTCCAGAATTTTTTTGCCGCAAACCCTCCTCCGGATCTTTCCCAACAGTAGATCCTCCTCCGGAGCTTTCCCTTCAACGGGTCCTCCTTTTAAGCTCTTTTTTTGACCCTTCTCTGGAGCTTTCACTGCAGCAGACTATCCACCTGAATTCGTCCAACAGAACGCCTCCCTTTGGATCCTTTTTTGCAGCGAGGCCTGCCTCTTGAGTTTTTTTTCTGTGGGTTATATCCTGCAGTTTTTTCCTATTGCTTCTCTACTTTCCTGCAAACTTGTTTGCAGCATTACCTGTAGGAACTTTTCGTCTATCTACAGACACTGTAGGAACTACAGTTAAAGACAATCACAGTTGTGTACTTCTCTGCAAACTCCTCTTCAGCACAACTTGTAAGAGCTTTCCGTCTACCTATAAACACTGCAGGAACTGCAACCATTGTTGTCTATATCTCTGCAGACTCACCTGCAACATTATCTATAGGAGTGTTCCACCTACCTACAAACACTGTAGGAACTGCAGTTAAAGACAACCGCAATACGAGACGAAGTCTTCAAGTTCTATTTGCCCATTGTTTGATATTTTCAAGTTTAATTCGAACATGATTTTCAACCATGTTTCAACTTGAGGGGGAGTGCTAGAAGTTATATTATGAAATAATTTGAAATAATTTATTCGAAATAATTTATTCCTATGAGAAGTTATGATGAATTAATTATTTCCTTAGATCAATAGTTATTTCATTTTCTATTTTATATATAGTTCCTTGGATTAGGAGTTATTTCCTTTTCTATTTTTAGGCTTTCTTTTTTTTATGTTATTTCCTTTATCTCCAAATAATTAATGTAAATTGATTATTGGAGTTATTAGATGTTATATCTTTCCTTTTAATGTTTTTTCTTTTTATTGTCTTTCCTATTCAAGGAATCATGTAAGTTTATTTATACCCTCTTTTCACATTAATAAAATGATCTCGTTTTATTCCGCATTATTCTGAATTTCAACGTGCTATAAATATCATTTCAATACATTGTTATAAAGTTGAAATTAGATATACAGAAGTTGTAAAAAAATTCAATTCAAGACCTCGGCTATGATTTTCTTGATTTCAGGAAACCCAAGGAGTGACTGTTGCTGCTTATAGAACCAATGAGTTTCCAGCATTTTTCACCGAGTTCAGTGGATGCCAGGTTCGATTGCAACTCTTTTCAGAATGCAAGAGGAAAGATAATTAATAATTTCAGTAGATATTTAAAATTTATATTTACAAGCAAGGACCAGAATGTACTTGGCACTCGGATGAGATTAATACCAAAGTACTATGAAAGAATATTATTCCAAATCTTACATCATTAGATCAGTTTTTAGAAGGAAGATCAGACACTGCCCAGGGATTTGCTCCTCTTATAATCTTTTTTGAGGTTTCTCATAAACATAAAATTTTATGATTAATTATCTCTCTTGATCATGTGAGAGAAATTTTGATTAATGCCTGTCTATCAGTAAAACATGGCTTGCCTTCAAATTTTGTAAATTCATATTTTGAAAAGGAATTTAAAATTTACCTGAATGTTGTGATGGTGTTAAGATGACGATGACCATTGACTCTATTGTGGTGCATTATTGGCATTTTGTGTTTTAGTTCTAAATTTTTGTGATAGGGTTAACATGAGAAGGTGTTTTTTTGCCTTGTATTGTTTTAAATCTTTAATATTCTGATTATGGATAACCTTTTGGAGTTATATAGTTTGAGCAGCTCAGATGTTGCAATTGTCATTTCATTAATGGGCCGTTTGAGATCATTTTTATTTTTTTATATTTTATATTTATTTTATTATGCTTAATGTTTTGATTTGAAATAAAATATGTTTGATATTCAATGAAACAACTCTGCTTTTAAAAACACAAAAATATTTAAAATTTACTTTTGAGTATTTTAAAAACAAGCTGCTTCACTTAAAAGAGTGATACTATATAAAAAATAAACTAAAAAAATATGTTTTTTTAAAGCAAAAACTAAAACAAAAGCAAGAAATTAAAAATAGAAATGATCTCAAACACATTTGTAGACAAGATAATTCTGCAATATCATGATAGCATATCACAGGTTAAGGTGAAATTGAGTCCCCAGATAATGCTTTCTCCACGAGCTATTACTTTTCATAACTTTGATCAGTGCCATCTTTATTCATCTAACGAGAATTTTCATCCAAAAAATTACTGAACTTTCATCCATTTGTTCTATTATTGTTTAGGAAGACATACCACTCAATTCCTATGTATTTACACATCTAATTTTTACATTCATGCCACCTTGCTTCTATATGAAAAGGTGTATCTGACTTTTTAGAAGATAAAATGGTGGTATTTTTTATGTGATATGAAAAATTTAGGTGGTATAAATGTAAAAAGTAAAATTTAGGTGAATTTAAATACATAGGATGTGGGTGGTTTGTATGTCAATGCCTCTTATTCTGAAATTAAACTATGAATTCAACTAAGGCAGATGCAGCTTGGATTTAAAATGTTATATTGCTTGTATTTAGAATTGCTCACCAGCCCTTAATGTTAATTCCTAATTATTGTTACATTTGTCCTCTAAAATGCCCTTCATTCCGATTGAGCTATGAGCAGAAAAATTATAAACAGTTATCTAGATAGCTTAAATGCGGTTTGAACTTAACCATGATTATGCTGATTGCAGGTTCCGTGTCGGGTAGATAGTCCTGAGGAATGTGCGCGGCTTATAAGTTAGCACCTGTTTTAATTTAATTTTTGAGAAATGCGTCAAAATGTTCCTAACTTTCTGTAGGGGTGCATTTTAGACACCGAGTCTATAAAATGGCCAAATTAGTTCCTAAACTATTTAATGATAGCTAAAATAGTTATTTATGGAGACTATTTCTGTTCATATTAAAAGAGTTTGGGGATTAATTTGACACTTTAATAGACTATGAGGCTAAAATGGCCATATGTAAATAGTTAGGGGACTGCTTTGAAACTTTAGTCATTAATTTTTGGGGTATTTACATACATACCACATAATTCCTATGCATTTACATATCTAACTTCTAAACAATTCATATTTACATGCATGCCACACAACTCAATTTTATAATTGTAACTATCATACTCTGTGTGTTAGATATGTATATACATAACAATTCATGCTATGTATGTATACTTCCCTTTTTTTTTTTTAAAGGAAGATTTTCATACATACCACTCAAATCCTGTGTATTTATATCTCTAACACCTAAATGTCAATTTTTATAAACATTCCGCCTTATCTATGCATGAAAAAGGTGTATTTCACTTTTTAAAAGTTAAAATGGTGCTATTTTTGATGTGATAAGAAATATGGTATAAATGTAAAAGTGAAGTTTAGGTGTTAAATATGTAAATACATAAATTGGGTGGAATATATGTAAATGCCTCTTTTTTTAATGGAAATTGTTTCATATTATTTTTTGTAAATTTTCCATCGCTTTGTCTGCAGATGCAAACCTGAATGTAAGGCTTGGAAGTGGAATACTGATTGCTGTGCCTATTCCTAAAGAACACGCAGCTTATGGACATGACATTGAATCTGCAATACAAAGAGCCCTAAAAGAAGCAAAGTAAATCCAAATTTGTTTCCAAGCCATGGCTCGTGCTCTGTTTTACCCATTTCCTCTTTCACATTTTCCCATTTGCACTTCCGTACAGGATTTTTTTCTCCGCACATTCATGTCGTTGCCTTGGATTGCTTTGTGCCTTCATAATATTTTGAGTAGGGTTGCAAGTGAGTCTGCAGGCTTGAAATTGGCTCATTAATGAGTTCTCGACTTGAGCTTACCAAGTGAAAAGTTCGAGCTTGAGCTCAGATTCCAGCTTGTATATTATAAGAGCTCAAGCTTAGTCGGACTTGACTCAAGAATCAATGAGAAAATTGATTGATATCTATGGTCTAATTTTAGCTTTGTCTACTGTGAACTTCAAAGAATTTTCATATCCACAAATGAAATTGAGTTCAACAAGTCAGTCTATCTTTTCATTAGACCAGTGCCTATGGAGCCGTCCACTAAATAATTTAAAAACTTATGTTAGGCACAAGACTAAAAGGAAAATTTAGTCATATTTTAGCTATTATTTTGGGGTATAAATTGGGCTTAATATGTTTAAGGTCAGGTTATGTTTGATTGCTGTTTTGAATCTTAGTGTTAGGGTTTATGAGAGATCGCCTACCTCTTGAATATTAGGTGTTTATCTTTTTATGTTTTTGGGATTTTATTGTTTTGATTTCACACTGATGAAATATAATATATTATTTTTGTCCTAATTTCAGCGAAAATTTGCCTCATTTCTATCAAATTGGTATCAGAACAACATTCTAAGAGTAATGTTGATATAGTCGCGATTCGAGCTAGTTGGGAGCCAACAATGGGATTGCGACGTATAGGGTTCCGCCTTTATGACCGAACCTTGCGATACAGTTGTGATTTGAGCTAGTTGGGAAGCCAATGATGGGATCACAACATGCAGAGTTCTGCTTTCGTGACAGAATGTCTTACTTAGTGGTGTCTCGACCTAGGGGAAGTCAATGACGAGATCGCGGTGCACACGAGTTTCACCTTCATGATTGAAAATCTTCATGAATTAATGACGACCAAGAAGGTAGATATCTTGAAAGAGAAATTAGAATGAGAGGTGAACCATATCAGATCTAGAATAAATGAACGTTTCTCGACTATTGAGGTGCGGTTTTAGTCTGTAGTGGGGAGATTCAGGGCCCTGAAAGAAATGATGAAAAGGAAAAGATCTTGGATTTTTACACAAACTCGTCGCTGCCCGCCACAAAATTGAGGTCCGGAGTGGATGTGAGCTGCAACAATAAAAAAGATTCTTGCAGCATCAGAACAACTTTGCTGCCTTAAGATAAGGTTGACAGTGTGAAGCATGTTTTCCGGTATTATACATAAAGAAGTCTTATGTCTCACTTTGAGCATCGGGAGACCTCATTTGTATGGAACTACAAATTACGCAAATGTTGAATTTGGAACATATCAAGCAAGGGACATGCTTCAGCATCTATGGACAGTTCCAATATCTAATGCAGTTGTTGAAGTCATCTAAGACAGCGCATCAATTGAGATCCGTTCAGTGGAAGTCACTAAGGGTGCTGCAATTGATCGAATATTGAGAAAAATTATGCAAAGCAAGAATATTGTCACACCAATAAATTATGTTTTATGCATCAGACACTTCGTGGGAGATGATAAGCTCTCTTAGAGAAACTTAAGTTAAAAGGGGTACACTAAGAATCAACACGTGGGGAAGAAGTGGCCGATTAAATGGAAATGATTGTCATATCATGGCGCCACATGGGAGCCATACGATTTGATCCAACATCAGTTTCCTCTCTTTGACCTTGAGAATTTTTTTTTTTTTTTTTTGGGAAGGAGTAATGTTAGATCGACTCCTATGGTGATGTCCGCCAAATAATTTGAAAACTTATGTTTGGCGGAAGACTAAAGTGATAATTTAGTCATTTGTTAGTTATTATTGTGTAGGTCTACATTGGAGTCTAAAGACCTTTGTTTGAATATATCTAAAACTGAATACATGGAATATTGTTTTAGTAGTAGTACCTCTAGTGGCAAAGTTGTAACTATGGGTGATCAAGTCATTAAAATGTGCAAACGTTTTAGATGTCTCTATTCAAATTGATGGTGATATAGATGGGGATGTTATTAGTTGGATTGAAGTTGGTTGGTTAAAGTGGAGGAATGCATCTAGCCTGTCGTGTGATAGAAAGTATCGCTTAGACTTAAAGGAAAAAAATTATAATATGTTGGTGAGAGTTGTAATGCTCTATTGCTCATAATGTTGGCCTTGAAAAGAGAAGCATAAAACAACCTTAAGTGTTGTTGAGATGAGAATGCTTAGATGGATGAGTGACTTGACACTTAGAGACAAAATGCAAAATGAGTGTATCCGTGATAGAGTTGGTCTAGCTCTAGTGGCGGACAAGATTAGAGAATCTTCTTATATGGTTTAGTCACATTGAATGTCGACCATCTGATGACTTAGTTTGGACAGTAGATGTTTTAGATTTGATTTATATTAAGAAAGACAGATTTAGACATAAAAAGACTTGGGCATATTGTATAAAAAATGATCTTAATCTATTGGAATTGAATGAAAATATGACACTCAATAGGACGCAATAGAGAAAAGGATTCATGTAAACGACCCCACTTAGTGGAATAAAGGTTTGTTTTTGTTGTCGTTGTTAGTAATTATAGCGGGGTATAAGTTGGATTTAATATATTTAGGGTTATATTATGCATGATTATTGTCTTTAACTCTTAGTGTTAGGGTTTGGGAGAGTTCGATTACCTATTGAATTATGGGTGCTTATCTTTTTATGTATTCCATATTGTATCGTTTTGTTTTGATACTAGTGGAATAAAGTTTATTATTTCTGCAATAATTTATGCGGAATGTTTTCTCATTCCTATCACTTTCTAATCGAGCTCGAGTGTTCAAGCTGAGCTTGAGCCGACTCTTTTTTACTTGAGTTGAGCTCCTGCTCGAGCTTAATAAATGAGCTTGAGTTTGAGCTAACCAATAGATAGGCAAGTTTGGCTCAACCAAAACTCGACTCTACTGGACTTGTTTACACCTCTAGTTATGAGATTTATCTTTTTCATGTAACGTCAAACAGCAAATTATGAATAACATCTGAAAAACTTAATTTATCAGCAATTCTCATTTATTTACACATCTCATGCCTAAACTTTCATATTTACACACAAATCAATCTCATCTTTAATATCACATAAATAATAGCGCTATCACCACTTTTTAAAAAGAAATACATCTTTTCATGCTTAAATTTAAGGTTTATGTGTAAGATATGTAATTCATAAGAATTGTGTGCTGCGTATGTAAATTTCCAATTTTTTATTTTAGGTTACAAGTTGCATGCCAAATTAACCAAAATTTAGGCTAGATAATCAAGTGATTAATATAAATTTATGTTGCATATATTTCTGGTGAATCACAACGGACTTGAACCATTTGAATGCAGTGAAAAAAGGGTAACAGGGAATGCTGCTACTCCATTCTTACTCGGTAGAGTGAATGAGTTAACAGGTGGAGCGTCATTAGCTGCCAGTATCCTTTTTTCTGGTTAAGGATTATGAAACAGAAGCACATTTTTAGAAAAGTTAAGGAAGATTTACATATATACCACTCAATTCCTATGTATTTACACATCTAACACCTAAGCTTCCATTTTTACATACATGCCACCTTACCTATTCAAGAAAAGGTGTACTCACGTTTTAAAAGTTAAAATGGTGGTACTTTTTGATGTGATATGAAAATTTAGGGTGGTATAAATGTAAAAGGCAAAGTTTAGGTGTTAGAAAAGTAAATACTTGTGAATTGAATGTTATGTATGTAAATGCCCCAAATTGTAATTATAAATTCTGCTTTTCATTTTTTTTGTTTTGTTTACATTTGCTTTCTGTTCTTCTTAAGAAAACTGAAGATATTGCTCTGGTGAAGAACAATGCTGATGTCGGTGCCAAAATTGCAGTTGCTCTTGCAAATTTGAGACAGAGTATGAACTTTATATTAATTTGCCGACTTTTACCTTGTATTGTGTTTGGTTTTTCTTTATTCAATTGCTTCTTGCATCTGAGTGAATTACAATAAGGAAGATTTACATGCATGCCACTCATAAAACCTAAACTTCAATTTTTACATATATATCACTTTACCCATGCATGAGAAAATGTATTTCAATTTGTATGACTTAAAATGGTGTGATATGAATGATTTTGGGTGGTATAAACGTAGAAAACAAGGTTTAGGTGTTAGATATGTTAATACATAGGAATTTGGTGGTATGTATGTAAATGCCTTTTTTTTTTTTTGGAAGATTTACGTTGATACCACTCAATTCTTATTAATTCAGATATCTTAAACCTAAACTTCAATCTTTACATACATGCCAACTTACCTATTGGGCTGTCAAAAAAGCTTGTTATTCGCGAACAAATAGTGCTTGAATCGTTCGTTAAATAAGCAAGCCGAACAGGAACATATTTGTTAAGATCGAATTATAAACGAACAGAAAAGGAACGACCATTTGCTCGATCATGAGCCAACACACTCTTCACGAGAAATTTTAACACCAACACACTCTTCACGAGAAATTTAGAACATAAGCCAATTTCCAAAGAGCTGAACACCAGCCAAGCCTTAGCTCGCTCAAACTCGGCTTTACAACCCTACTTACAAATGTATGAACTATGTCTATTTCCCTTTTTAAAAGTTAAAATAGTGGTATTTTTGATGTGATGCAAAAGATTTGGGTGTTATAGATGTAGAAAAGCATAGTTTAGGTGTTAGATATGTAAATACCTAGGAATTGGGTGGTACGTATGTTAATGCTCTTTTTTTTTCAACTTTTACAACCTTACAACTGAACTTTGCTTTGGCAAATAGCGGTGCATGTTTTTTATTATAATAATATAATTTAATTTAATTCCATTTTTCTATTTTTTTTTTCTTTCTGATAATTTACTTTATACCCATTACAGGTCCCTTAAGGTCTGCAATCTGAGCTTTTATATATCTGGAGAGGACCTATATCTTAAACTAAATAAATTTCTTCATGTTCTTATACATGCCACCTGCTTCTCATCAATTATATTTTGTTGAAGGACCATTTTGAAAAAGGTTAGACTGAGTTTTATATTCATTTTTGCCCCCTATAACTTTCATTATTATTTTATTTCCTTTCTCATTAGTATGTACTGGTGTTCTAAATGTTATTTTTTAAATCTTGCTTTTATTTATCTTATTTTTTATTTTCCATTTATTTTAAATATTTTTTAAATTTATGCTTTTATTAATCTTTTAATAATTATTATAGGGTGGGAAAAGGGGTATTTACATACATACCAGAATTTTTTTATTTTTTTATTTTTGATAGTTTTGTCACTTCTAACCTTAGGGAGATTTTTAGATGAGCCTTGCTCAAGCGTTTTTGTGCTCGGCATTATTTTATATCTGTACATGTATTCTTTAAATTTTAATATTTTATTATTTACCACTTAAATGTTAGCATATATTCAATAATGTTATTCCAAGTAAATTTAGTTTTTAAATTTCTAAATATTTAAAAAAGTAGGATTAATATATATACCGCAATTTTTATGCATTTGTATATCTAACTTTAAAATTTTATTTTATTTTTGTCATCTTATTTATGAATGAAAAAGGTCAAAAAAAATTTTTTTTTTTTTTTTTTTGTAAAGTTAATGTAATGATATTATTTGTGTTATAGTAAAGATTTGGGTGATATAAATGTAAACAAAAAAATAAAAAATTAACGTGTTGGATATTTAAATGCATAAGAATTGCGCAGCAAGCATCTAAAGCCGGAAAAATATTATATCAGGACTCTTAACTTAGAATTAAGTTCGGAGTCCATTGATATGTAGACACGTGGTTTCAAGGAAATGCTCGTGTTTTCCTGTGATTCGGCCCAATAACACAGGAGAATATTCTTTCTGTGTTATTCCACGTTATTCAGATGTTATTGTGGTGATATTGATGTGTTATTGTAACGCCGGGAATATTCTCAGAACACAATAATATCTGAATAATGCTGAACTAAAGTGATTTTTATTTTTATTTTTCTGTCACCTCCACGTGTTTGCATATGAGTGGATTTTGAACGTAGCTCCAGGTTAGAACTCCCGACGTAGTATTTTTCCCTAAAAGCATTGTATAAAAGTATGAGATACTTCCGTCAATATTTATTTATTTTCAGATAAATTTAGAAATGTTATTGCCAATTTTTAGGATGAACGGTGACGGAATTGTTCCTTGTAGGTCTCGTTATTGGGCAATGTGCATGTCACGGGTTTCTAGTTTATTCATAACTATTTTTTAGAAGTTTAATATTTATATTTATATCATAAAGTATTTATTTATTTATTTAATATTAATGATAATAATAATATTTGTATTGTAATATTTTAAATTTGAGTGTTATTTATGTAAATATAGTGTATTAATATGTAAATGCATAAAATTGTGTGGTATTCATGTAAATGGCCTCGCTGGGAAAATTACTATTTTGAAATTTTCTACTAATTTTTCATTTAGAGAATTATATTTCGCATAAATTCTAATTCCCAGTTTAATTTATGGGCCATTTACATGATACGATCCAACCAATAAAATTATAAATATAACAACTGATTTTACTCTATGTTAATAACATAGAATATTTTCATTTGACAAAAAATAGCATTGTTTTACGTTCAAAGTTGAAAAATGTATTTTCATGTGTGAAGAGCTATAAATGCAAAAATTAAATTGCATGAATTTAGATTTGTAAATATTTAATAATTTGGCGGTATTATAAATCTCCCCTAATTTATTTACAAATGAGGAATAGATCACGATTGTGTTCCTGCGTGGCATCCTTGTGATTTATTTTCTTGAATTAGATTTATTTCAATGTTTCAATTAAATTTTATAATATATATATATATATATATATAATTATTTATTTACATATCACTCAATACTGGTATTTTTATTAAGCTTGTATTTTAAACTGATGAATTTACATAGAATTTTATAAAAATAAAATTACATAGATTGGAATTTTTTCGTAAATTTTGATATTAATTGAGAAATTGAGAGATGGATGAAAAAGATAAAGGTAATTTGTAAATAACAAAGCAATTTTTTTCAAATATATTATTTACAATTATGATATTATAATCATATAAAACATTTTTAAGTGACGTCAAAGATTACACTATGAGTTATGTTGCGCAGCCAATAATTGTACTCCCCGGAGAGTGTTAATATCATATATATTTATTTTAGTATATAATTATTTTTTCAGTTTGTTATAAATTTTTTTAATTAAACAGACATCATCATCTAAAGTAAAATTATTCCCTGAATTTGAGGCCCACTTATGTAAATTTCAGTCCGAACAAAATATATGGGCCCATGCTTTAAAACTAAAGTTCGGCCCTATCTTCAGTGATTGATGGATCATGGATGTATGCATGCAATGTTATGTGAAGCATGCCATGGCTTCTGCTTTTCCCGCGTAAAAATGGAGCGCTTCCTCGGGAGTATAAAATACGGGCAAGAAAAATAGCGAGTGGCTGTGATCCAGATAAATTCATTCAACGATTTTTCAAAACCCTAGAAGCTCCTTATCGATCCTCCAACTGCAGCTCACGGTGGCTCCGGCGAAGTACCTTCTGTGGTTCGAACGGAGCCTGCTGGTGATACTAGGGTTTGGCGGGAGATTCAGTCGGTTACCCTTCGTCTCCAATTCTTTGCGCTTCAGAAAACTTTGAGAGGTGTTATGGTAGATCGGGTAGGGTTTATGGGGAAACTGGCTTGAGTGGACAAGTTCGTGTGGTTCGGGAATGGAGGACGTTAAGCCGTCGATTTCTTCGAATTTCGATGATGGTGATGCCATGGAGGCTCGTTTTGGAAATTTGTGCAAGGTTTGCGTTATATTTACTGAGATTTAAATCTTTTTCTTTTCTCTTTTTGTTGCTGTACTGTTGATTTGGCGTGGCAGAGTGTGCTTGCGCTTGATGAAAGCACAACGAGACAGGCAATGGTGTTGTTCAGAGAAACTAAACAGATTTTGATGGCCAACATATCCACAATTGGAAGCGGATCTGTAAGTTTTATTAGGGTTTTTTTTGTAATTTTAGAATTCTTGGCGGCAAATGTTTAATAAAAAAATTTCGTTTTTAAAAACTTCAGCCTGGTGAAGTCGAGAGGTATTGGTCAGCGTTTGTGCTGTACTGCATTATAAGATTGGGTCAAAGTAAGGGAAGGAGGGAAAGTGGACGGCATGGAGTTTCTTTGTGCCAAATTTTGAGGGCCTCTAAGCTGAAGTAAGTTATTCTCATGTGCTATTTTGGTTAAACAACAAACCAACCGTTTCTTTTTTGCATGATTTGCAATCTAATTTATTGCTTTTTAGCATTGTTGACTTTTTTAAGGAGATGCCACAGTTCTCTCTAAAGGCTAGTTATATTCTTAGCGGTTTATATGGTTCAGATTGGGAAAAGAGGCTTGAGGTATGCAAAGATTAGACCTTTCATTATGGATTAACAGTTCTTTTCTGTCATTGCTTGACTACAATTTCTTGTTTTTTATATGATTAGTTGAAGGAGTTGCAGGTGAATTTTGTTCATCTAAGTGCTTTAAGCAGGTAAATTGTTATATTTAATAATATGCAAATTTGCCACTCAAGACTTTTTAAAACATTAATTGCTGAAAATATTTGATTGGTCATTATTCAGTGGTGTAGTAGTGCAAGCTCGGCTTATTATTGAGGTGGTTTGTGAAAAAAAAAAATGGAAATTTAGATATGTTGCACACACTTTTTATGTGTTTCCATATCCTACATCTAAACTTTTATATTTAAAGTGGTAATAGTCGTAATTTTGATGAAAAGGTTTATTTCACTTTTAGAAAGTGGTTGTAGTGCTATTTTTGATGTGATATTAAAGATTTGAGTATTATGTGTGTAAATAGGGCTGTCAAAACGGCTCATTATTTGCGAACAGCTCATGTTTGGCTCGTTAATTTTGTTCGATAAGTTAACGAGTCGAACACGAACTAAGATGTGTTCATTCGTGTTCGGCTCATTTTGGCTCAAAATACTACTCATCAAGTTTATATATATATATATAATATAAAGTAGTATTTTATTTTTTTGTTTTTATAGACGTGGATCCTCCCCCTCCAATTTTTGTACATTTTCTTTAAAAAAGTAGTATTTTAAAAAAATCTAACTGACTACAAGGCTACAAAGATTTATAATCAATTAAAATATTGATTAAGAAAATATAATAAAAATTATTAAATTAGATTCAAATGATGTTTTAATCTAAATAATAATTTTTAAATCTTGCTCAAACTCTTATTGTTTTATAGCTACATGATTAGGATTGTTAAAAAGACTCTTTGTTCGTGAACAGCTCGTGTTCGGCTTGTTAAGCAAACGAGCTGAACACGAACTGTAAATAGGAAAGTTTATGTTCAAGATATGCAATACATAAGAATTGCATGCTATGTATGCCAATTTCCTAAAAAATTGTGTTGAATCTTGTTGAAATTTATTGATAATCAGCTCAAATTCAATTAGTTTATATGAGGCTGTTTGTTTAACTAGCCAAACATGAACAAGGTATTGTTCAATCATACAATTGTTTGATTATTTGTTTGCATGAATAAAATTCTGCATGCGTATATTTATACTTTTATGTGCTTATGTGTATACATGTGTATAAATCTTATACATTTGTGCTCTTCATGATTTCTGAACCCTATATTTACATGGATCCCATGTTTCTGTCTTATTGGATATCATATAATCACTTGTTTCTAAATCATTTTTTTCCTTTTATCTAATGGAAGCATGTTCTGTCGAGAAGTTCCCAAAATATGCATCCTACAATTACTTTGTTTGTCGAGTTTTATATTGATGCTTATTCACATACATGGATGCAATAGTTTGTTGCGCCATTTACATACATTCCACCCAATTCCTATTGATTTGCATATCTAACGCCTAAAGTTTGTTTTTTTACATCTATACCGCCCAAATCTTACATATCACAAAAAATCACCACCGTTTTAAATATAAAATGTGAGATACACCTTTTCAGGCATATATAAAGTGATACGTACATAAAAGATGTGGTATTGATGTTAGATATGCAAATACATAAGAATTGAGTGGCACGTATGTAAACGCCCCTAACATTTGTTCACATGAATGTTACTAACATTACATGTAACTCTTCCTAATTTTTTTGATTTCTTTATTCTCCAGGCACTACAGACGAGCATATCAAGAACTATTCCTGCGAGGCGACTCTAGCAGTCAGCCTTCTGGTATTTTGAATAATACTGGGTACATATCAGATTATCACCGTTTTGGATGGCTATTATTCTTGGCTCTACGGGTTCATACATTCAGCCGTTTTAGAGATCTCGTGACCTGCACTAATGGACTAGTTTCAATATTGGTATTTTTTCCCCCTCATGGTTTATTATTTATTCTGGTAATATTGTAAATCATTTAGGGATGCCTTTTACAAAGTTCACCATTTATTTTATGACAGGCCATACTCATTCTCCATGTACCCATAAAATTTAGGAACTTTCATGTTGCCGACTTTCGACTATTTGGTAATTGACTGTTGAAATTTTTATGCTTTTGTGTGTGTGTGCAGTTTTTGTATTGAGACATTTACATACATACCACCCAATTCTTTTGTATTTACATATCTAACACCTATGCTTTGATTTTTATATTTATACCGAACAAATATTCTAAAAGGTGAAATACATCTTTTCATGCATTGCAAATGTGGTATTTATGTAAAAAATTGAAGTTTAGATGATAAATATTAAAATACATAAGTATTGAATGGTATACATGTAAATCTCCCTTTTGTATTTCGTGTAATAAGTGACATCTCTTTGGTTTCACAGGGAAGAAAACTGAAAAGGGTGTTGACCTTCTTGCCTCTCTGTGTGACATTTATCATACATCAGAGGATGAGCTGAAGATAACCTTGGAGAAAACAAATAAGTTAATTGCGGACATTTTAAACAAAAAACCTCGTCCAGCATCAGAATGTAAAACACAAAACTTGGATTTCTTTAATACAGGCGAGTTTATATTCATTTGATTGGGGTTTTTTCAGGTTTTTTGAGGTCTAAGTTTCTCTTATCAAGAGCTTGTTTGGGATCAATTTTGTTTTTTATTTTTTCTTTTATTTTAAAAAACATATTTATTGATTAGCGCATTTTTTTAACATATTTTGTTTTTACTAAAAACAAATTAACATGTTTTTAAAAACACTCAAAAAGTTTTCTATCTTAATCAAATAGTTAAACATATTTTGTTTGAAATCAAAATATAAATAAAATAAAATATGAAAAAAATTAAAAACAAAAGTGATCCTGAATAACCCCTAAGAAAATGTTGTTTCTTATTTATTGGTTTATTCATTTTTGTTTAGATGGTTTGATATGCTTTGAGGGTCTTTTAGAGGATGATTCGTTGCAATCAATTCTTCTCATTTTGGAGAAGGATTATGATGAAGCAATTAACACTATTGGTGAATTGGACGAGCGGGTGTTTTGCAGCGATGATGACAGTGTACTTGGAACTGGAAGCTTATCTGGTGGAGCCATTAATATATCAAGTAGAAAGGTATATTTTTTGATTGTGTAAATATGGATGGAGAAAAGTGTCAAAATGATCCCCTGATTTTGTCAGAGTATAAAAATATCAATTCAGTCCCAAACTATTATAGTGAGTGTGAAAGTAATCCTTCTTGATGATTGTTCCAACCAATATTAAATTAGTTTGAGGATTAATTTGACACTTTTATAAACTATGGAACTAAAATGACCCTATGTAAATAATCAAGGGACTATTTTGACACTTTACTCAATATAGATGTTTAATTCTTTGTTTTTTTAACATTATTTCACGCTCATCTTTGTTAATGCAGAGTAAACTTGATATGATAACTTCGCCTGCAAAGACTATTAAAAGTCCCACCAGTTTTATGCAATCTCCTACATCAACTGCCAATGGCAATCTTTCTGGTAGCTCTAAGATTGTATTCGACACACCGGTTAGCACGGCCATGACGACTGCAAAGTGGCTCCGGAGCATCATCTCTCCGCTTCCTTCAAAACCCGATGGCGAACTTCGCCGGTTTCTCTCCTCGTGTGATAAGGATATGAACAACGATATCATTCGTCGGGCCAACCTAATTCTAGGCGCAATATTTCCCGTTAGCTCTTTTGGAGAGCGACGCATGCCAGGAAGTTTTCAGGGCGCGAGCCTGATGGATACCATATGGGCCGAGCAGAGAAAATTGGAGGCGTTGAAGCTTTACTATCGTGTTTTGGAGGCGATGTGTAGAGCAGAGTCACAAAAACTAAACGGCAACAATCTTACTTTGCTTTTAACAAATGAGCGGTTTCATCGTTGCATGCTGGCTTGTTCCGCCGAGCTCGTTTTAGCTACTCATAAGACTGTCACAATGATGTTTCCCGCCGTCCTCGAGAGGACGGGCATTACAGCTTTTGACTTGAGCAAGGTGATTGAAAGCTTCGTGAGACATGAAGAAACTCTTCCGAGGGAGTTGAAACGACATTTGAATTCGTTGGAAGAACGACTTCTCGAAAGCATGGCATGGGAAAAAGGGTCGTCGATGTACAATTCGTTAATCGTGGCGAGACCGTCACTTTCGCCGGACATAAGCAGGTTAGGACTATTAGCGGAGCCAATGTTATCCCTCGATGCAATTGCGGCAAATTATAACATTCCTGTTGGAGGTTTGCCGCCTCTCCCTCTTCACAAGCGCGAAAACTTTTCAGGTATTATCACAGGCCATCCAATCGTGATAGCTGAACTTTTCAATATTGAATCATATTCAGTTTCATATTTTTTTAGGAAGATTTTCATACATCATATCTAACGTATAAATTTTGTTTTTACATATATTTCACCTTTCCTATGCATGAAAAGGTATTTCACTTTTAGAAGTTAAAATAGTGGTATTTTTTATGTGATATGAAGGATTTGGACAGTAAGTTTAGTTGTCAGCTGTTGAATACATATGAATTGGCTGGTGTGTATGCAAATGCCCAATATTATTATTATTAATTATTAATAATTTTGCTATTAACTCTTAAATTTAACTGTTATTGATAACCTATGCTCTTGAAAGCAAAATTTAAGTCTCTCTTTGGTTATTTATGCTGCAACTAAACTTTATGCTTGAGTTTTCTGACTTTTCATATTTTGGGATAATTACATACACTAACACTTGAAACATTGCTATTTACAAAACCAGCTTCTAAACTGATGCATTTGCGTGTGCCATCATTAAAAAAATTAATAAAAATGAAAACTATGAGTTGAGATTTTATTATGAATTTTGATATTTGACTGAGAATTTGAAAAATAAATTAAGCAGGGTGCTAAATTTGTAAATAACAATGCTGCTATCTATGCAATTTTGCCTTCGTTTTTTACATATTTCAATGCTACTTTGTCTATGGGAAATTCTCTGCGAGTCCTTTTCTAATTTAATTTGAGATTAAGCCACGAAGTTTTGATTTAAAAGAGAAATGTTTGATATGCAGATCTAAATGGTGATGCTCCATCTCCTAAGAAGCAATGCACCGAATATAATAGGATTGTATTAGTGGAGCGCGCTTCCTTTACTTCTCCTGTCAAGGATCGAACACTCGCTGCCAACAGTCCCAAATCTAAACTACCACCGCTTCAATCTACTTTTGCGAGGTTAGAAAGTCTTTTAGAATCTTTGGTTTGCCGTCTTTTTTGCTTCCAATTACTTAGCGAATTTTCTATTTGATTCGTCTTTGAATCTATAGTACTCTTTACAGTCCAACTCGTCCTAGTCCTTCAGGAGGTGGGGAGACGTGTGCTGAGATAAGTATTAATGTGTTCTTTAGTAAGGTAAAATTTCTTCAAGAGAAATTAGTCAATATGGTCTCCTGATTTTCTGCGGGAGGTCATTGTAATCTCAGAGTATATGAAAGTGTTAATTTAGTTCTCAGACTTTTATTGGGGGTTAAAATTGTCCTTCCTGGAAATCATTCTAATCCATATTAAAAGAGTAAGGATTAAAATGACCCCACGGGAATAGCGAGGAGGCTATTTTGACATTTTACTCTTTCAGTGAATAATACTTTGTAATATTTCAGTGCTTGAGGTTGATGTAATTATGATGTTTATTTGTGCTTTGTAGATTATAAAATTGAGTGCAATCAGAATCAGAAGCTTGTGTGAAAGATTGCAGTTGTCGCAGGAAGCACAAGAGCGCGTTTATTATCTCATCCAACAAATACTTAGTCAAAAAACTAGTCTTTTCTTTAATCGGCACATCGACCAGATCATACTCTGCAGTTTCTATGGTGTTGCCAAGGTACTATACATGGGATCTGCGTTACTTGGTTATAACTGAAAAATCAAACCGAACCAAAAGTTTTTTGACCATTCGGTTCTAATATGGGTTTTAATTAGTGAAATATTTGATTTTTCGGTTTTTGGATTGGTTTGAAAATCACAATTTTTAATAAAACCAGAGGAACTGACTAACCTGTAATAAATTGAAACCCATTTCATAATTTGCATTTTTTGGTTCTGTTTATCTTCTCCATTCTAACTGCCTTGAAAGAAACAAATTTTTTTTCAAATTATATATTTTAAATTATTCGTATTACATATCAATTATATGATAAAAAAATGCATAATATAATATAAATTGCACAAAAAAGATTTTAAATATAATTCAGTTTAATCTAAACCAAATCGAAATATCTGAACCAAATTGTTGTTTGGTTTGGTTCAGTTTTTCATTCTGATTGGTCGGTTTGGTCCAAATTTTTAGGCATCTGAAATCAATTAGTTTCTCAAATTTGTCAAGCATACCTTTAACTATACATTCAAATTTTTTTCACTATTGTAACAGCTAACTCTAATTTAATGCTCTGATTTACAGATATCGCATTTAGACCTGACTTTTAAGGAGATTATTTACAACTACAGAAAGCAGCCGCAGTGTAAACCGCAGGTCTTTCGCAGTGTTTTTATTAGTTGGCCATCAGAAAACTTCAATGGGGTAATATATCAATCCATTGCTTTTTAGATTCGCTGCACACGGTAAAAGATGGGAAAATTTACGTTCATAGCGCACTACTTTTATGTATTTACATATCAAACTTCTAAAGTTTGATATTTGCATTTATAGCACTTTGGGGTCATAAACCTAAGCATAAAAAGTTGATTTCACCTTTAAAATAGTGATATTTATGATATAATATTTTAGTTTTTAGTGTTTTGCATGTAAATATGAAAGTATAGGTGTTAAATATGTAAATATATAAGAATTAATGCACCTAAAAGATATAGAAAAAGGCCTAATTGAACCTTGTTTGTGCAGAAAAAAGGTCAAGAGCATGTTGATATAATTACGTTTTATAATGAGATATTTATTCCCTCTGTAAAGCCTTTGTTGGTGGAGTTGGGATCTGCTGCAGTTCGTCCAAATTCTGAGAGGCCTTCTGAAGTTATTAATAATATCGATGGTATGCGGCCTCTTTCTTTTTTTTTTTTTTTTTTTTTTTGTTTTTTTCTACCATTTGTTTTGCATTTTACATCAAGCTTTGTTTGGTTAATTATATAATTATTATTATTATTATTTTAAATTTGTCGGTTGAAGGCCCAATTCCAGGATCGCCTCAGCTGTCTCGTTTCCCAAATCTTCCTGACATGTCTCCAAAGAAAGTTTCAGCTTCACATAATGTGTATGTTTCTCCGTTGCGAACTTCGAAGGTGTGTTTTCTAAAAAAAATAATTTGAGTTTACGATTTTCATTTATTTGAGATTTTTTTCTCTAATTATGCAAAAAACTAGTTTAGCCTATATTTTTCTATACTTTTAAGGATATTGTCTACGTACTGTTATTCCACTGCTGTTTTTTTTTTCTTTTTGAAAATTTTTATGATGAGGAACTTTTTAGATCGGATTTATCAAAAAGCATTGTTTTAAGAAAATTAATATTCAACTTTTTATTTAGGGAAAAATTTATAATACCCATAATAGTTTTTAATAATTGATCTTTTCTTAAAAAAATATTTTCACAATTGGTTTTATAGATAATTACAATCACCCTTAAGGAACTTTTAAATTTAACTAATTGGCAAAGAAGAATCATAAATTTGGCGGCATTTAAATAATAGAAAAATTTACATACATAACACAATTCTAATATGTTTACATATGTAATGCAAATATGAATGTTTAGGTATTATATCTTAGTACATAAGAATTGTATGGTGTTATGTATGTAAATGCCTATGATAATATTATCATGCTTTAAGGTAATGTATGCTAGGATTAGGGGTGAGCCAAGCTGGATCGTGAGCCAGCTTAAGCTAGGCTCGTTAATTAACGAGCTCATGAGCTGTGTTTATCGAGCCACGAGCTCGGGCTCGTCTTACCCAGCACTTTGGCTTGTTAGCTAGCTCAATTAGCGTGCCGCTAGTCATTTCTATGCATTTTCCAATTAGTTGTCACTGCTACATCATCATTCTTCAGCCACCAATACCTTTTCGGATGATCTACCATAAAAATTGCTTTTTTAGTTCGAGCACACAGGCCTGTTGCGACATAAGAATTTTGTGGTATATATATGTAAATGTGCCCCCAACCCCAAATCCTGAAATTTTTAATTTTTCCATAATATTTTTGTTATAATATTTAAAAGAAGCATCAAAATAATCTTGAGAATTCATGCTCTTCTCAGATGGATTCTTTACTTTCACCAAGTTCAAAGAGCTATTACGCATGTGTTGGCGAGAGTACCCATGCCTATCAGAGCCCTTCCAAGGATCTGTCCGCCATTAATAACCGCTTGAACAGGTTTTTTGAACAATATTTATTTTATTTCTTGAATGATTAAAAATTTATATGTATTTACATATCTATAACCTAAACTTTCCCTTTTTTTTACCTTTATACCATCCAAGATTTTCATATCACATAAAAAATATCACAATTTTAACTGCTAAATAGTGAAATACATCTTTTTATGCGAAAGGTAAGTGGCATAAACGTGAAAAATAAAGCTTAGGTGTTAAGACATGTAAATACATAGTAATTGAGTGGTATATTTAAATCTTTCTTTTTATTTATTTTTCTAAGATTTTAATTCATTATTTCAGCAGCAGAAAAATAAGTGGTAGGCTCAACTTTGATATGGTCAGTGATTCAGTTGTGGCTGGAAGCCTTGGCCCTCATAACAGCAGTTCAGATTCTTCTGCTGCTGCTACTGTTTTGAAGAATCCTGTAAAGTGTGAGCTACCTGACTTGTAGTTCTCATGTTAAATTCCCCATTACTCTAATATTATATAAATTATTATATATATCTATAATAGTGTATGTAATTTGAAGTTTCAGGACTGTGTGCGATTAGGATGCTTATGTAAAACAAATAATATGATTCCCCTTTGAGCGCCATGTTTTCTTGGGCGTTAGTTTAGGGATTTGTAAAAAGCTGTTCCTACAGCCTTGTTATAAATATGATTATGGAATTATTAATATATATATATAACTTTTTAATTGTTGGATCTATTTTGGTCTTGCTTTTGATTCTGTTTATTTTTAAAATCAGGAATTTATGGACTAGAACCAAATTATTTGCTTGCAATATTTACAAATATCACAAATATTAGTTTTTCAAATGTGAAATGCTCCATATGAATATATGTAAATTACCCAAAATTGTTATAATATGCAATGCAGCCTGGTTTAAATTGTCTATGTTTTTGTGCTATTATGGTAATGTTTTTTTTTTGTTAAACTACCTGTTTTAAAGAGAAACAGTCTCTACTTTGGCTATGAACTATAGTATAAATTTTCATTCCCAAACTGGATAAATTTTTACCATGCCCGTTCTATAATTAAAATTTAGAAAAAAAATCAATGTACAGATCACAACTATTATGTATTTAAATGACTAACACATCAAAGCTTGATATTTACATGTTTAATATTTTGATATCATAAATTTATAGATGAAAAAAATTGTAGAAATATTTTTAATGTGATGTTATAGATTTGAGTGTTAGATATATAAATATGAAAATTTAGAATACATTAGAATTGAGTTGTGTGTAAATGCCTCTAAAATTTTTAAACAAAGATTAATAGAATTTTTTTTTTCCTTCACTCATTTCTATTGCACATTAGTTTTAAAATTTACCTTCTAAGCTTCTATAATGATTAATAAGCGCAAACTACTCTCTCAAGCAAGTCACCTTTATTTTAATACCATATATAACTCTTAAATTTCAACCTCCACTACATTTTTTCACTTTCCTTGAAAGAAAAAAATTAAGGGCCTTTTTTAGAGCGCTTTTTGCATTTTATTTTTATTTTGGTTTTTAGCCTTTTTTTGTATTTTTTTTGTTTTAACTTTGTTTCTTTACACGACCTGTACATTAATTTGGTCTCATAACTATATTTTGCGATTTTAAGCTTTTGACAATTAATTTCCTTATTCTTTTTTTAATATTAATATGAACCAAGTATTTTATATCACATAAAATTTATCACTTAATTTTTTTAAAAAAATGGAAAACAATTTTTACGCATATATATAAGATGACAAATATGCAAAAATTAAATTTCAGGTATTAAATATGTAATTAAATTGAAATTGATGGGTAGTATGTATATAATGTTCTTTTGTTGTGTGGTATTTTATTTTTTTGTATGTATGTATCGAGTATAGCTTAGTTCTTGCCTCATACCGCCTTCGCGAGAATTCACGATCAACGCCTCGCTTTCGCTCTGCTTGTGAGAACTGGTTACTCCATAAAAAATGTATCATTAGTATATCATCCTAATGGCTTCAATGTCTTCTATAAACACTCACATCTAAGAATACCAAAAAAATATAAATACATAAAATACTTCAATGTTCTTCTCTAACAAGGTAGTTGTCATTTTCATTTTACAATTAGCACTACAGATCAAACCTTCCTTTAATTCCAAAGCAAGAGAGAGAGAGAGAGAGAGAAGGCTGAAGGCTCATCAACAAAATTTAATTCCAAAGCAAGAGAGAGAGAGAGAGAGAGAAGGCTCATCAACAAAAGGCATTTATTGCACTATCAACACATTTATTTCCAGAAGATTTCACTAGACAGAAGAACGAAGTGGGCTCAGACATCTCAGGCACAGTCAATAGCCTCACCGGCTTCCCACTTATAAGTACTGAGATAGAATTCAGAGCTTCTCTCATCCAATCATACCGGCAAAGCTTCCATGCCTCCCACACATTTAGCCATTTCCTATCATGGGAAGATTGCTCCGGCCAGAACTGGAGCTCCTCAGTAACTTGGAGCGCGAATATGTAGCCTCTGCATGCACCCTCTTGCCCTTTGAGGTTCTGCTTACTCTTGCTTTTGAATTCCCACACTCCCAATAAAGTATCCTGAAGCAAAGAATTAGAAAATAATTAATATTTTACACTATGGTCACTTGTTCTAACTCAGATCCTACTTCAAACAAATTAAATTTGCAATATATATATATATGGATATATTTGAGGAGGTCTGATTGACAATATGATCTGTAATTAAAATTAGCTATACATGAAAATGTAGTTCACATTTTTAAAAGTTAAGACGGATGAAATCTTTGAGCGATATAAATGTAAAAAGTAAAATTAAGGTGTTAGATATGTGTATACATAAAAATGAGTGGCATGTATCTAAACGCCCCGTGTAAAATTAGTAGCGGCATTGTTGTGAAAAAAATGGAGTTCTCAAAAGTTCTCAGTATTACAATTTTTTTTCTTTCTTTCAAAAATGTCCAGCAACAGCTTTCACACTATAACAAATCTAATCATAAAAAGCCCACTGACTCAACAAAAAATTATAAAAAATAGGGGCATTTACATACGTATCACACGTTCTTATGTATCTACATATCTTGCACCTAAACTTTCATATATCACATAAAAAAAGCACTATTATGACTTTTAAAAAGTGAAATACACATTTTCATGCCTATGTTTAAAACACCAGTACTATGTATGTAAATATGAAAGTTTAGCTGCAAGATATGTAAATACATAATAAAGTGTGCAAAGTATGTAAATTGAACAAAACATATTCCAAATGCATCCTCAAAATCATGAGTGAAAAGCAAGTGAACCATGTATGCATGCATGTAATCGAGAAAAGAAATCAATATTAATTTGATAAATAGGGTTTAGCGTACATGGATGATTCCTCGAACCCCTGCTTCCTCGAAAGCTTCGCGACATGCCGCTTGATCGACAGTCTCATCATTATCCCATCCACCCTACATAGTTATCAATTCATCAATGATAAATTGACAATAATAATCCTACAAACGTTATAAACATATGAAAGAGGATGCCATACTTTAGGGAAGATAAGATCATGACGATTTGGTGTAGTAATCATAAGAACCTCCAACTTACTCAACAAATCACCTGTCGAGTTTTCGACGTTTTGTTTCAATCTGTATGGTATGCACCTAATCCAATCCAAAGAGAGTAAGGGTAAGGAAATTGCTGAAAGTTTTTATTTTTTTACAAGGAAATAATCCTAATAAGGCTAAAAATGTCAGAAATCTTATAACAAAAAGAAAGAAACGTTTTTGAACTAACATCATTCCTTAAGGAGCACAATTTGCATTCTATAGTAACTATTTTAGTTAAAAATAATAAATACGTGTTAAATAAACTTTAACTTCATTAAATTGATTGTTAAATGCATCAATTAATTGGATTCACACTCAAAATAAATGAAATGATAAATTTAAAAACACATTTTCCATTTGCAAGCAACCAAGTCGGTACTCGAGTGATAAAATATGCAATAAAAGATGGAAATTAAAAATACACTCATATGAATGAAATTAGCATTCAAGAATTAATAAGAAAAAAATTGTAAATCTTACGACTTATCATCGATAGAAGTTGTGCAAATTGATTTGTGCAGAATAAATTTAAAAAAATGAGGATTCATAGAGCCAATCTAAATATTCGAGATAAAGCTAATAACAATCAATGAATCTCACACGAGTTAAGCACATGATCATGAAATCGAGTTAGACATATAGTCAAGAAACTACTTCATACCACACAATCACAAGATCTTGCCCAAACCAAAAGTTTCACATACATACCACCCAATTCCTATGTATTTACACATCGAACAACAAAACTTTAATTTTTTACATTTATACACTCAAATCTTTCATATCATGTCAAAAATACTACCATTTTAACTTTTAAGAATTGAAATACATCTTTTTATGCATAGGTAGGGTTGGCATATATGTAAAAATTGATGTTTAGGTGTTAGATATGTAAATAGATACGAATTGAGTGGTATGTGTGTAAACGAATTGAGTGGTAAATTGAGTGGTATGTGTGTAAATCTTCCAAGATATTATGGCCCCATGGTTGGAGCACTAACTGCTAGCTTCTAAAAATTAAGGTTAAAGGTCACCATGAACTCAGTTAATCGTTTTTAGCAGAATTTTATAGCTGTTTGTAGAGTTTAAACTACATATTGATTGCTAAGAATATCTAACCAAACTTAAATAAGCTCATCATTTCCATAAAAAAAAGGGGGAAATTTACATATACAAACAACACAATTCTTATGTATTTACACATCTAACACCTGAAATTTGTTACTCACACTTATAACACCTTGGTGTCATAAACTACTCATTCAAAAAGTTAATAATGGTTGTATTATTGATGTGATGTTAAGGTTTTGAGTGTTATAAATGTAAAAATCAAACTTTATGTGGTATGTGTGTAAATGCCCTTCTAGCTTCAGGAAACCAAATAAACCCTAAATTTCAAAACAAATCCATTCAAAGAAAAACTCATACCCTGCAACTAGCCGAAAGTGATTCTCATAACGCTGCAATTCACGCCCAGTCCGAGCTTCCAGATTCGTCGACATAATTCAGCAGTAAAACTTAACCTAATCCAATAAACAAAACCAAATAAACTGATTATTTCAACCACAAAAACTGTAAAAATCAAGTAAAAATCGCTCCATTTTACCAATAAACAAGACCAAATAAAGTGATTATTTCAACCACAAAAACTGTAAAAATCAAGTAAAAATAGCTCCATTTTACCTCGAGAAATCAAATGGAAAACCCTAATTCAAATTACTGCATTCTATCTTCAAATAAAAAACCCTAATTCAAACCAGAGCTCAAATGGAAGAAGAGGAAGAATTTGATTTCCCGCTCCTCAACAAGCTCACTTCCCTCTTCTATATAAACAAAAAGATCCACATATTAAATAATAATAAAAAATAAATAATGAAAAATTAGGGCTAGGTGTTGAAAGAGACCGAGAGATTGAAGCGGAGCAATTTCATGGAAGCAGAGTGGAGGAGATGATACGAGCATACGGCTGAAGAAAGCAGCAACGAAAGAAAGCACGCAGAATTGGACCCTGTTAAATAAATATTATCGAATTTGTTGTGTGCTATGAGGATAAGAACATTCTCTTAAATTATTAATTTCTATATTACATAAAATAAAAATAGATTAAGACATTGCCACATGATTCTTTTGTATTTACATTATATTTGCATTTTTAACACTAGTTCTATAAATTTATGTATAAAAACATATATTTCATTTTGATAATAATGACATTCTTGATCGATGTTAAAAATTTATGTTTTGGAAATATATATATAGGAGCAGTCAGGCACTTACTCTAAAATTCTTATGTATCTGTATTTCCCACTTCTAAATTTTTATATTTAAATGTATAATAAAAATTTCAGCTAAAATATAATAATAATTATTATTTATTTATTAAAATTGAATACACATTTTCACGTATAGATTTATGGCTCCTAGGTGTTATAAATGTAAATATAAAATTTAAATATTAGATATGTAAACACATTAGATTTGCATGGTGTTTCTGTGAATTTCTCATTTTTGTTATGAAAATTTTCCTAAATTATAAAGAAGAGAGAGAGGAGGGAAAGAGGGAGGGAGAAAAGTGTATAGTCTCTCACTATTTACATGGGACCCTTTTAATTCAGAGTTTATAAAAGTGATATAATAGTTCTCAAATATTTTATAGTTGAGTTCTAATATTTTTTCACGAGGATTATTGATTCTTTTGAAATCAATTTTGAAGGGATATTTAAGTTTGATACACCTCCAATAAATCTCCATCTCGAGATAACTTTTTGAGCAATAAATATTCAAATCTCGATAAAAAGTCATCCAAAACTCTGGTTTCAGCAAACATACAATCAAACTGCTCGACTCGACAAGAAGAACCCAATGTCATAAAAAATGGTTCGATCTCAACCAAATTAAGCCATTAAACCGATTTTAGAAGTTTTATGAGTACATTGAAAAGATCAAACGAATATCAATTTTGACGAGTCTATAGTCAAATCAAGCGTCTTGACAAGACGAATCCAATGAGTCCAATATCACTCAATTCTGACATCATTAAGACACTCAAATGTTCATCAAATGTCGTCCAATTAAGGGAAGCTCTCTATGTCGTCCGATGAAAGTGATTCATATTTTTACATTAATTTCACCTAAAACTCTATAAATATAGTCTCACCCTCTCATTAAGGAGGAGAGCAGAACTTAAAGCTTGAGAAAGAACTTGAAACTTTGAGAATAAATTGAAGTATAGGACTACTCATGTGGCCTTCGACCACTGTCAACCACCGTTGACTACCGCCACTGACCTCCGTGAACCGTCGCCCCACCATCACCAATCTCTGTCGGTAACCATCGTCCATTGTCGACCACCGCAGACCGCCGCCGACTGCAACTAGCAACCAACAATAACCGACCACCGTGGATCGCCGCTGACCGTCTCCGAACATTGTCGACAACCACTGACAGTTGACAACCGACCTCCGTCGACCTCTAACGACCTCCATCGAAGGCTGTCCATCACAACCAACCACCGTCGATCACCACCGACCGAACGCCGCTAATCGGTATCGGTCGCTGCCCGTCAATATTGTAACTTGGGAAAACCAATAACCATTTCTCGTTTGTGAGATAAATTGCTGCAACTGTAATTATATTTTTATAGTGGAACTTTTCAGCTGCGTCAGATCTCGTGGTTTTTCCCTTTCCTGGTTTTCCAAGTAAGAGCTTCTGGTATTTTTATTAGTTGTTTTCTCTTTTTTGAGTGTTAGATCTTTGTATCACGATTAAATAATAATCTGCTACTCTACCACCATGAATCACGTCAAAGTTGAAATGAATGTCTTAATTTTAATTTAGCATATTGCTGGCTTTTTACTCGTATACATAATTGTTATAATTTTTTTCTTACAAAAAAATGAGGTGTTTTTGATATTATAAATGGAAGCATTTTTGATGCAGTAAGTCATAAAACGAGCTATTAAGAAAAATAATAATTAAAAAAAAAAACTTCTCTTTTGAACGTGCCTTTAAATTTATTTTTAAAATGGCTCAATTTTGAATAAATTTAAGCTATTTTGAAATTGAGTTAATTAGAATGATCAAACTAACTTGGCTCGAAATTATTTAAAAATTTGAAATAATTTTAAATAGCCAAACCAAAGTGATCGAAAAAAAAACTGTTTTTTGATGCATTATGTTATAGAGGAGCTCATTTTTAAAAATATTTTTGTCTTAAACACGTGTTTTTATTTTTATATTGACTCGGTTTTGAGTGAATTTTGAGAACTTTAAAATTGAGTGAAATAGAATTGTCAAATTGGCATAGGTAAAAAATAAAAAAAAATTTTTGTGCGGAATCCTGATGTAGCTCTACGTGCGGCGCAGGGTATTCTTGTGTTATTTTTAGTTTATTTCTGCGTTATTTTCAGTAATCCCGAAATAACCCAGAAATAACCCGCGGTTTTTATTTTTAGGTTATTTTGGGATTATTGAAAATAACCCAGAAATAACCTGAGAATAACTCAGGAATAACCTGCACCGCACGTAGAGATACGTTAGGCGTCTTAGGTGTCTGGACAGAAAATGCGCGCGATAAAAATTAAGTTAAATTTGAATTAACTCTAAATTGAAAGATATAAGCTGTACTTTTTGCTATTATGATTATAATTTTAAATTTTCTCTTACAAAAAAAATTAGAATATGTTTTTTAGTTATATAATAAAAAAATACATCAATGCAATATGTCATAAAAAGAAATATTTTTAAAAAATATTTAAGTTCGAGCTGAATTTTGTTTAAAATTGTCTAATTGTTGTTTCTTCCTCAGTATTACCATTGTAATTATAGCTTCTTATATTATTAAAAAAACATGTTTACTTATATTATAAATAAAAGTGTTTTTAAAGAGCAATTTTTTTAAATATTTCTCACTTCAATACTATAAAATCAAAATACCGTTGACCTAATTTCTTGTGGATTGAATAGCTCAGAGCGGAACACATACGTGTCTCCTGATTTAGCCTTATGAGAATAAACAAATATTCTAAAAAAAATGGTCATTGATCGAGCAACGGACTCAGTCAATTGAACCAGAGGTCGGGGATTAGTCGAGCGACCGAACAAGGGTCAATCAACCCAGAAGTCTACCAAACCAGATTTCGCAGATTGATCAAATGACCAAACAAGGACCAACTGACCCATAGGCCAGCAGAATCAAAGATTGCTTAAGTAGAGGGTTCGACTGGCATGAAGACGACCCGCTAGAAATTCATTAATTGCATGACATGAAACAAATTGATTGAAGGTCGACCGATTAAAGAGGGTCAAGATTGTAACTGTCATTTCATATTAACCCCTAGTCTCCTTCAAATATAGAAGCATTAAATGTGATAATGTTTGTTGAAACCATCTGCAAAGATAATTGATCTCTCTCATGCTCCTATCATAATTGGTTGAGACTCAGAAACAAATCTGATTTTATCAAAAACATTTTTTTTTATTATATTGACACCTTTGAATGAATTTTGAGCTACTTTAAAATTAGAGGGATTATAATGCTAAAATTGACCCAGTTCAAAGTTAATTTAAATTGGTAAATCAATGTTGACCTTAATTTGTTTTAAATAGCCTTACTGACGGCTTTTTCCTATTATCATTATTATAATGAATGATTTCTTATAAAATTATTGAATATGTTTTAAATTACATATTAAAATACTTTTAATGCAATATCTTCTTAAAAAGACATATTTTTAGGTATTTCTTCTCCAAACTCCTGTTTTTATTTTTATAATTATTGACTTACTTTGAGATTAATTTTGAGCTCCCTCAAAATAGTACTATTAAATTAATTTAAATTGAAAATTTTAAATTCAGCTAATTTTTTTTTTTTAAATTGCTTATTGTTAGGTTTTTGCTCTGTACAATAGTTACATAAATACCTGTTCTTAATTATTTACCTATCAAACACCTAAATTTTATTTTTTCACATATATAGCAGTCAAATTTATCATAGCACATCAAAAATATCATTTTTCTTAATTTTTAAAAGTGAAATGTGTTGGGTAATGTGGAGACCCAATCCATTGTAATTTAATTAACTGTTAATAATTAGCTCATAATTAAGAATCTCACCTACCTTCCCACATACCGCTCACTTACCACATCACACCTACCGCTAATCTACTTCTCTCCGACCGCCTATTTTATATAAATAGTCTCTTATGACTTGTCATAAACAAGCCAAGTCAGGTCAGACCAAGTCCTCTAAGAGAGAAAGAGATGAAGAGAGAGAGAGAGAGAGAGAGAGAGAGAGAGAGAAGAGGAAGTGAGAGAAGAAAATAGAGATTTTCTTGTAAACGTCGATGCGCTCGACAGTGTAATTCCTCAAAGAAATAAAATTCTATGCAGCTCCGTGAACATAGGCAAATTTGTCGAATCACGTAAATCTGTGTATCGCTCTGATATTTTTTTTCTGTGTGTATTTTTTTCTCGTTTCATTTTTCACTTTATTGTCGTTGTCTTTCACAAAAAAAATGCATGGATGAAGTGGCATACATATAAGTTTAGGGTTTAGATTTGCAAATACGGAAGAAGTGAGTGGTTTGTATGTAAATCTTCCATTTTTTTGGTGCATTTACATACATACTAGCCAATTCCTATGTATTTGCATATCTCACATTTAAAATTTTATTTTTTATATTTATATCAATACTTCTTTTAAATCACAGAATACGTGACCCTTTGAATTTTTGAAAAGTGGAATACACCTTTCAAATAGTACTTATGTAAATGCATAGAAAGTGAATGGCATGCATGTAAAATTTTCCTTTTTTTTTAATTGAAAATTTGCATTTTATTTTTCAGATACATTGAGGAACTAGAATGGACACGTGTAAATTTTTTATATTTTTTCTAAGATTTTTTTATTTAATTTAAAGAGCCATATTATAATGACCTGGTATTTATGAAAGAGAAAGGTTGTTGATTGGAATTGAGATTCCTTTCATGTAAGTTTAAAG